ACGCTGTCCATCTGCTGTCTCCACAGCCTCAAATATTACATTGCATAACAAGCTGCCCTCCAGTGTTTATGACCCAGGAGAAGTTTCTTTCAAAGACAAACAGGTTTCCTTATTTAAACTAAGGACAAATGACAGCTTATGGGACCTTGGCCAGTTCTTGTAAATAAAGTTTTATTGGCACACAGCTACACCCACTCATTTACATACTGCCGCTGGCATCTTTCCAGAAGTAGAAGTAGTGTGGATGAGTGGTGGGGAACTGCAAGGCTCCCAAAGCTGAAAATATTTACTTTCTAGCCCTGGATAGGAAAAGTTTGCCAAACTTTAATTTAGACACAAATATAACCCACTCAGCATGCTGTGCTAACTAGGAAACCCGGAGCTAGATTGAACGTTCAATTTCCGAGAGGCATGACACATCCTCAGCATTTTCTTATTTCTCTGTGTCTGTGTATTTTGATCTTCCAATTCTACTTCAACATTTACTTAAAAATAACTAATATTCCCTGAGTACATGTTCTATGCCAAAAAACACTGACTCAGGCGCTCAAAGGCGTACTTTGATTTAATTCTCACCATAAAGCCATGGGGGAAGATAACAGCCTCCAGTCATTGAGGAGACATGAATGAAGGAGATGAAGGAAGTCACCAGCTGACTACACAGTGGGAGTATTTACTACGCTGTGATTCAACCCAGAGTAATGGAGGGGCTGACTGGAACACTCTGGGTGTTCAGTATGCACCAGAGAGTGGACAGGGCCCACACAGTGCCTGCAATCAATGCCTCACGTGATTATAAGATGCTCTGAGGGGCTGGGAAGATGGCCAGGTAGTTAAGAGTACTGGTTGCTCTTCCAAAGGGCCCTGGTTCAATTCCCAGCACCCACATGATAGCTCACAACTGCCTGTAATTCTAGTTCCATGGGATCTGGCCTGCAGGCAGTACGTGCACACGCAGTACAGACATACACGTGGGTAAAACACCCATACACATAAAATAAATAAATAAGATGCTCTTGGTAGGGCGAGTTTTCTGTTCTCTTTTGTGTGTGTGTGTTGTGTGTGCGTGTTTTGTGTGTGTGTGTGTGTGTGTGTGTGTGTGTGTGTGTGTGTGTGTGTGTGTTGCTGCAGATCAAGGTAAGCAGCCATCTCATAAGGAATCTTCCAGACTCAGAGAGAAGCACCATAGCCCACAGTCTCACCAGATGCTAAGCAGTTACCCATGTCATAGACTAAGATTCTGCTCCTGCGATGTCATGAGCTCCCCATAGCCACAGTACCACACCTATAAACAAGGACCAATACTGCATACAAATCAAGGTCCCTTTAAGGCTAAGAGGCATACTTATATTCTGGAAATTGGGATCATCTTTCATTAAGTTAGATTCCTACACTCTTAGCAGTGGAGTGATATGTGGGACATCAAAGGCCTCATATCCCAGCCACAGTTTTTTACAAATGTATTAAAGCATATATATATATATATATATATATATATATATATATATATATATACATTTTTCTCTAAAACAGGCTTGCCTGTCTACAACCAAAATCATCTTCAGTCCATATCGACCCACTCAGAGAAACACTTGCCAAGCAGCAGTGGGGGTGGGGAGGCTGACAAGTCCAAATGTAAGCATAGCTTCTGGGACCTCCCAGGAGAACCAGGATGACCTTGGCAACTATCTGGATCTCTCTACCGCATTGTCTTCAAACGTGAAGCAGAGGGCCACACCTACCCCACCAGATTAGGTGGTCCAGTGGGCTTAGTCCAGTTCAAAGTTAGCCCCACAGAGCTCACCAAGAGCCCTAGAGAAGAAAGAGGCTCAGATTTTTTTTCACTTCAAATCTGTGCTGACCCTCTGGGGCTCCTAGCACCCCTGTATGGGGACAGGTCCAGGGTCCAGGCTTGAGGATCTAGGGAAACAGCCCCCCAAGGGCTAGAGTGTGTGCGTCCATCAGCACAGAAGCCCATTAAGGAAAACCAGTCTCGATAATAGCACTCAACAGGACACATGCCCCATCAGGCAGCTGACAAATGATTGAGGAGGTGAACCAGAAACAGAAATGCAGCCTACTCTTGCGGCCACAAGAGGGAAAGGCAGAGTGGCCAGGGGCCTTAGAGTCACCAGGACTAACATCACCACAACCAATGCCACCAGCACCAGCAGTACCAGAGCAGTAATACTGCCAACATCAAATGCGCCAGCGCCAACAGTGCTAATCATCCTGGTGAGATCTGTGGTCTCTGGGCCTGGTGCTGCAGGCTGTAGATCCTAGAAGCTACATTCAGGTGTCTGCCTGTCTTGCATATGTCATCCTATAGAAAGTGTCATAATGACCCTTTCCTTCCCAAGCACCTCAGCTTAGAAGGAAAATCCACATAGTTTTGAAGATGCAGGCCAGAAGAAAAAAGGTGACCTGCCCCACGTTACAGTCACTAAAGGGGATAAGAAGGAAGCGGAAGTCACATCTCTCAGCTCCAGGCAGTGTGGGTCCATGGCTGTGGAATCAGGCAACACTGTGTTCCCCGGGGACACATACTTTGCCTCTCTGCACTCATCCCTGTAACAGTAGCCCGGATGTCTAACAGTGTCTGTCTGCCCCATGGCTCTGTTCTGACGCATGTGTGGTTCAGTGTTTGCCAGGCATCCTGCACAGAGGCTGGCCTAATAAATGGTGATATTTGCTACATCCGTGTCCAAAGGATGTAGCCTCGAGCCACCGTCTTATTTCTCACCGTTATGGTTCTGTGTGGTTTTTTTTTTTTTTTTTTTTTTTTTTGAGCCGGAGCCCACCCTCGCCCTCTTGTGAGAAGCAGGAGATAAAGAGAACCACCACAAAAGGGTCATTCGAGGGAGTAACCAATAAACAAAGAGAAAGGGAGCTGCGAGCCGTGTGATAAGTGAGGTGCAGCTGTCACAAAAGGAGAATGGGGGGAGAGGGTATAAAGACATGAAGAGGCTAAGCGCTTCAACGGCCCCTCCCTGACATGACTCCACTCACCACCCCGGCTCAGGCAGATCCATAAGCAGTGCTCCAAACGCCCCATCCAACAAGGCCTCACTTCCTCAAAGCACAGATCCCCCTAGACCATGTGTGCTGTTCTCCCAGCCTGATCCAACTCCAGCCCCAGTACCAGCCCTGGGGCTCAAGTCCTAAAGGAGTCCCTAAAGTCTTTTTTCTCAGGTAGAGAAAAGAGGACTCTAGGTTTTAAGGGCTCAAGAGCAACTACAAGAGTAAATCCCACCACTTACACCTCCAGACCTAGAAGAAAAATTTCCCCCTTCAGCTGACCCTACTGGTCCTGCCCAAAACACCAAGCAGCCTTGCCTCTAGCTTCTAGCTTGGCCTTCTCTGGCATATACCTATGCAAATCACAAGCCTCAAGGCTCTTGACTATAGACTGGAGACACACGACCCACCTGAGGGACTGCTGGACCCCATTACACACTTGTTCTGAAAGACCATGGTCCTATTCTCTGGGGGGCTGCAAGAAAATCAACTCTGCTGCACCAATGTACTTACTATGTGTCTAGCTTTTAAGCAAGACAGTAAGGCTCTCAGACTCCTAAAGCATAAAGTCAGTGCACATCCAAGAACTATGAATAACAGCAGACCATAACCACAGGACTCTGTTTGCATAAGCAGCTCAAGAAGACCCGCCTAAGAGTTTATCACTGTCACACTGGACCTAGAAGCCCATCCCAAGCAGACCCTAGCTCAAGTGCCACTTTGGCAGCCAAATGGTGACCCTGAGCACTATGCTGCTTCCTCCTGGAGCTACCACTCACAGTCCTGTGGGTAGCCTGGCACTACAGTGAACATCCCTGGGTTCTACCAACCTTGCAACCCCCGAAGGGCCAAGCTTTCTGCCAGTAAACTGCAGAACCATGAGAGCCTCGGTTGTCAAGTCCACTACTCCCTCCCTCCAGCTGGCAGAAGGCTCCTTTTCCTTGCTGATTGCAGGCCTGAAGCTCAGCCTTCCCATGGGTTTCAAGAAATATGACCCTTAACGGACTATCCAAGCCAACCCACAGTGTCTGGTGCAAAGTCTGGCACTGTTTACCAAGCTGTGCTCAGAAATTTTTCAGGGCCGAGTGACACTCACCCTCCCCAGGAGCTGCCCTGCACTGGTACTGCCCTGACCCTGTGTCAAGCTTCGGGCACATGTTCTGCACGTAATTCCAACCCTATGATAGAAGAGAATACAAACTTCAGCCATGCTGAAGAGGGGCACCCAACCGTCACTTGTCCTGAGTCACATAGGGTGGTAGAGGTTTAAACCCAGAACAGCCACCTGCAGACACACACATCCCACGGTGGTAACAACCATTTGGTCTCATGTTCTCAGCTCTAGGCATAGAGCCAAGAAATGATTCTATTGTGTTTGTCTCCGCCATGGAACTGCCAGTCTGAATGCATTAACCATCACATCTTCATCTATCTCAGAGTACCCACTGAGTCTCAGAGACACAGACATCCTCCTCAGGCTTCAAGACACTTAGTCTAGAGGACAAAAACAGAAATAAGAACCTTCAATCAGTAAGTAACCATCAACATGGGGAATAAGGGTGGCTCCAGGGAGGATTCTCTTTTTCTCGTTATTATTATTGTTGCTGTTGTTGTTATTTGGTTTTTGTTTGTTTGTTTGTTTTCATTGTATATCAGCCCTGGCTGTCCTGGAACTTACTCTGTAGACCAGGCTGGCTTCCAACTCAGAGATCTGCCTCCTGGGATTAAAGGTATGTACCACCGCCCCCCCACCCCACCCCCCAGCTCTTATTTTGTAATTAGAAAGACTTTTACTTTTTGTCTTTCTCCCATAGGTTCCCGGCATCACACCAGATACATAAATGGACACAGAGGACAGCAGATCTTCTCCTAACAGTCACATCAATAGAGAGCTCTCAACTACCAGCCAGGACAGCCTGGCCTGAAGCACAGGAACATGCCAGAGACACTTCGTCAAAAGGAGATGGGTCTTGGGGACTTACATTTTAGAGGGAGTGCCAGGATGCCCGAGAGATCAGAGCCAATAGTCTCATGGAGTCAAGGGTAGAGATACAGTCTTCTCAGCTATGGTCCTTGTCCCCAGTGGGCATCCAGGCTCAAAGAATCTGTTAGGCCACTTGTAGCATCCCAAGGCAAGCCAGGTGTGTTATTCCGGAAGCTGCATCCACCAGCATTACTCCCCAGGCAACTGCATCTTCCTGTAAATCCACAGGGTTGGGAAAGTCCCCAAGTGAGGCTCCATGTGGTCCGCAAGCACAGCCTGCTGGAGGGCATCTTCGTACCATAGTCATGTGAAGGTCAGGCCTGAGACAAGGGAGGAGAAGAAAACAGTGTTGGCACGATCTCAGACTACAGCAGCAAGCACTACTCCTTCCTTTTATTTGACACTGAGCTGCGCACAAAACACTCCCTGTGACACTGGTACCCAAATACAGGTGAGTGGGAGGCCTAGGGGGAAAGGATGTGGTAGGAGAAGAGCCTTCAGGGAGTGCCACTAAGCCATTTGCTACTCTCCAGTAAGAGCAGTTTAGCTGCAGGAGGATGCACAGAGCTGCCCCCGGAGGAGGAGGAGAGTTGGACCTGACTGTGCCCACAGTGTTGATGAAGAGCGAGTTATTGGCTTGCCCGGACTCACAAAAGACAGGCCTGGCACCTAGCCAGGCTCTCTTGCAGGTCTGAAAGGTCCCAGTAGGGAGCTACTAGGCTTAGAGGCTTAGGGGTCAGCTGGTCGGAAGTCAGTCTTTGTTTTGTTTCTTTTTAAAGGCGACCGCATAAGGCTGGCCTGGTTCCAGGTCCTGCCCTGCTCTATGAGCTGTTTCTACAGGACAGGGCCTGGGGCGTGTTACTTCTCTTATTCATTCAGCAATTCCTGGGTCCTTTTCGGCTGATCCAGCTACTATGTCTTTGGCTCCTCAATCCAGTGCATTCACATTATCCCAGAGATCACAGAGTTTGGGGTCTGGACTTCCCCAGCCACCTGAGAGCACTAATGGTCCTTCCCGGAGCATCTGTCATTCATCCTGCTAGGAGTCCTGGCCTACCACATCCCACATAACGCCCCAACCATCTGGGATTCTCTAACAAAGTTTACAGAATAATACTTGGAGGCACAGACCATTGAGGGTAATTCACACTAGTCCGAGAGCATCCAGAAGCTAGGCAGTCTGTCTTCCGATGTCTGAGCCTCCATAAGGTGTCCTGCGTTGTCCTGTGAGGAATGCCTATCCAAGATAGCTCTAACTAAAAACTCAGATATTTCACACATATGCAATCCCATTTCATCTTCACACATGCACACAAAGCTGTGGGTTATAAACTGTCATTATTTGGTTGCTGAGATAAGAAACTTGAGGTCCAGGGCAGCAACTGAGAGGAGCCTGTAGTCCATTCTGTCAAAGGGGAAGACATACAGAGGAGAGGCTGCAGGGTGTGGAGGGGGGCGAGGCAGCTATGATTTACACCATAGCCTCAGTTAACAGTAGGGGAGAAGAGGGGGAGCGCATTATTAAATATTTACTGAAGCCCACAGGCAAATCTGAAACCAGGTTTATTTTGTCGTGGTCAAGTCCATTAAAGTTCTGTCACCTGAGGAAGAATTATCACATGGCTGGTTGAGTATTACTGTAGCCAACTGGTAGCTTTTGACCAAGGGCAGAGGCGGCAGCATGGATGCTCAGGAGAAAATGGACCACACCATACTCTCACCTGCCAGACAATATTATGGGGGGCTTGCTACATGAGGGCTTGAGGCATCCTCAAACCCAAATGCCTCGCTCATAGAGAGCATTCTCATTGCACCTACTGCTTACATGCCGTGGAGCTAAAATCGAGAAGACAGACCCCAGGGACCAGCCACTTCATGGAGAAGACAGGCATTCTGTAGAAGATGATTGTTTAAAAGTGATACACACGGAGGAAGCCAGGCGGTGGTGGCATACGCCTTTGATTCCAGCACTCAGGAGGCAGAGTCAGGCGAATCTCTGTGAATTCACGGCCAGTCTGGTCTACACAGCAAGTTCCAGAACAGCCAGAGCTGTTACACAGAGAAACCCTGTCTTGAAAAGCAAAAAAAAAAACAAAAACAAAAAAACAAAAAAAGGAGGGGGGCTTCCACAGGGACACTGTCATACAAGTCTACTTATGTGGAGTAGACGCATGCCCTTTGGGTCTAGTTTCTCTGCCTCAACGCATCATCTTCTCACAGCCTACTGCGGTCAGCTGGCCATGCCTGGAAGGCATCCAGGAGGAGGCTCATCAGGAAGCACGCTCTAACTTAGTGACACACAAATGGCCCCACTATAAAATACAGCCTCGGGGCCTTTCTCTTGGCTGGGTCTCTTTCCTCCCCGGCTCCCAGATTGTCAGGCCCAAATGTGTCACTTCCTTCGTGACCCTCCCTCCTGGATATTGGTTCCAGCTGACCCCTTCCAGCAGACACTGGTAAGAAACACAAGCTGCTTCTGTCCCCTACGAGACACCCACAAAGGAAAGACCTGTCTTGGTGTGTCGACCCCCTTGAACACGGGAGAACTGAGGAATGCTTTGCAAGCTGCAGGGTCAGTCCAAGGTGCGGTCCCCAGAGAAGGAGAGACAGATTCCTGGCATCCGTTTTATGTCTCAGTGTGTATGACTCCGTGTTCTCCCCTCTCTTCCTCAAGGTCGTCTCCACACTACATGTATGTATGTATGCACACACATCTGAGTTTCTCACTCCACTTCTCTATCTTCCCTAACTGTCCACTCTGCTGTTAATGTCAGTAGATGTCAATTCTAATGCCTGGGTAATTCAGCCAAAGGACCACAGTACTGACTGCAGGACCTGAAAAACAGTCCTGGGAGGTCAGGCTGGCCCAGCCTCACTGCCCTCCACCCCCTCTCAGTTGGAAAATTAAGATTTCTTAAACACAGCAAAGAAGACATCTCCTTCCCTCCCTCGCTGGAATACAAAAGCAGCAGTCACCAAGACACTTCTCTGTATTTCAGGGACCAGGTCTTGTCTACCCCGGGAAGACTCATCAGGATCTGATACTAGACAATGCTGTAAGTATCCTCCTGCAGACTCCATTTTTGCTTACTTCCTTTCTTCCCCAAGGTGCTGGATTAACAGGGATCAGCTGCTTTAGAATTCCTGAGCCATCCAGCACTGGTTCCTCCTCACACCCATGCATTCAGGAAATAGAACATGAAGTGACCCAGTAAGCAGAGTGGGACCCAATAAGCCAGAACGTGAGTCCCCACGTGGAGTCATGGCCTTTGTGGTCTCTGACACATCCTTTGAAAGTATCTCTTTGACGCACTGAGGAGATGTTTCTATAGAGTCAGAACTGGATTCTACATGGTAGCTCACAGTCTGTCCTAGGGGATACGACACCCTTTTCTGACCTCCACTAGCACCAGGCACACCCATGGTGCACATACATGACATGTAGACAGAATACCCAATGAGTAATATAAATCTTTAAAAAGAAAGAAAGACAGCTGGGCAGTGGTGGCACATGCCTTTAATCCCAGCACTTGGGAGGCAGAGGCAGGCAGATCTCTATGAGTTCAAGGCCAGCCTAGTCTACAGAGAGAATTCTATGACAGCCAGGGCTACCCTGCCTTGACAAAAAAGCAAGGAAGGGAGGGAGGAAGGAAGGAAACAAAATGAAAAAGAAAGAAAACAAAAAGGAAAGAAGGAAAGAAGGAAAGAAGGAAGGAAGGAAGGAAGGAAGGAAGGAAGGAAGGAAGGAAGGAAGGAAGGAAGGAAGGAAGGAAGGAAGGATTTCTGTTCAATTAAAAGAGAGGAGCCTCCTCTGGGTTCATCTGTTGAAATATACAGAACAGACAGAGTACTAAGCATGTAGTGCGCTCACAACTCAAGCAGAGTCACTATCACCCTGGACAATTGGGACCATCGTGAATGAAGCTTGAGAGATACAAACTGAACTCACTGGAGTTGGCTAAGGGAACAAAGTCTGTGAAGGTGGTTCACCTGGCTCTCCGATTTGACCCACTGAGACGAATGAGGGAGAGCAGCAGAGCACATCTAAGGGTGTGCCTATGAGGGTGTTTGCAGGAAGGCTTAACTAAGGGGGTCAGATCTGCTTTGAATGTAGATATTTCTATCCCATAGGCTTGGGTCTGTGTGAAAGAAATGGGAAAGGCAGCCTCTTGAAGGCATCTGCTTTTTCCTGACTGGTGGAAGAGCACCACTCTCCTATCACAATGGTCTTAGCCCTCTGAAACAGTGAGCTAGAATAAATCTGTGATGGCTACTCTTGGTTGTCAACTTGACTCCATTTGTAATTAACTAAACCCCAAATGACTGGACACACCCATGAGGGATTTTTTTTTATTCTTTTTTTGTTTTGTTTTTTTGTTTTGGTTGGTTGGTTGGTTGATTGGTTGATTGGTTGGTTGGTTTTTTTATTTGAGACAGAGTTTCTCTGTGTAGCCTTGGCTGTCCTGGAACTCACTATGTAGACCAGGCTGGCCTCAGACTCATAGAGATCCATCAGCATCTGCCTCCCAATGGCTGGGATTAAAGGTGTAAGTGTGCCACAACATCCAGCTTGAGAGATTTTTTTTTTCTTAATGAAATCATTTGAATTGGGAAGACCCACTTCTAATCCAGATCTTTGGCATGAGAGAACACACCCTTAATTCAGATATTTTGCATTGGGAAGACCCACCTTTAATCTGGACCACACTTTCTGCTGACAGCGTATACAAAGGACATAAAAGAAGGAAGCTTGGCTCTCACTAGCAAGTCCATTCCTTCACAGGCATTACAACCTACTTGTTTGGGATTCCGGTGTATACTGAAGAGCAGCTGAGACAACCAGTCTCATGAACTGAACAACTACTGGATTCTTGGACCTTTCACTGGTAGATAGTCATTGCTGGACTAGTTGAACCATAGCCTGTATGCCATTCTGATGGGATTTATTATATACATTGTGTGTGTATATATATATATCATAAATATACATACATATCCATTCTGTAAGTTCTGTTCTTCTAGAAAACCCTGACTAATACAAAATCTTTCATTTAAACTGTTTTTTCCCTCTCAAGTGTTTGTTCATAGACATAATAAAACTGACTCACACAAAGGGTTTGGTTTCCTTATTTACAAGACTGCTCAGAACAGAGCAGGCAGGCCCACCTGCTCCTGGGGGGCACTCTAAGCTTTAGCTGGGGAGAACAGATGCAGGCTAGTTAAGGACTTCCTACCACCGCTGGAGAAGCCGATAAAGGAGTTAAACCTCCTTGCTCAGTTCTCCCCCAGCCACTAAGAGTACTAAGTATAAGACACTCTC